TATAACAGTGAAAAAAGTTTTTTGTTTTTAAATGCAAGCTATTGTGACACCAGTGAGTGGTGGCACTTTTTGGTTTTTAAATGCAAGCTATTGTGACACTAGTGAGTGGTGGCACTGGGCACCGTATCCACTGTGAGCTTAACACACCCGCTTTAAGGACACTGACTGCTATTCAATTTATAACAGTGAAAAAAGTTTTTTGTTTTTAAATGCAAGCTATTATGACACCAGTGAGTGGTGGCACTGGGCACCGTATCCACTGTTCGCGTAACACACCCGCTTTAAGGACACTGACTGCTATTCAATCTATAACAGTGAAAAAAGTTTTTTGTTTTTAAATTCAAGCTATTGTGACACCAAATATGAGTGGTGGCACTGGGCACCGTATCCACTGTTAGCGTAACTCACCCGCTTTAAGGACACTGACTGCTATTCAATCTATAAGAGTGAAAAAAGTTTTTTGTTTTTAAATGCAAGCTATTGTGACACCAGATGAGTGGTGGCACTGGGCACTATCCACTGTGAGCTTAACACACCCGCTTTAAGGACACTGACTGCTATTCAATCTATAACAGTGAAAAAAGTTTTTGTTTTTAAATGCAAGCTATTATGACACCAGTGAGTGGTGGCACTGGGCACCGTATCCACTGTTAGCGTAACACACCCGCTTTAAGGACACTGACTGCTATTCAATCTATAACAGTGAAAAAAGTTTTTTGTTTTTAAATGCAAGCTATTGTGACACCAGTGAGTGGTGGCACTGGGCACCGTATCCACTGTTAGCGTAACACACCCGCTTTAAGGACACTGACTGCTATTCAATCTATAACAGTGAAAAAAGTTTTTTGTTTTTAAATGCAAGCTATTGTGACACCAGTGAGTGGTGGCACTGGGCACCGTATCCACTGTTAGCGTAACACACCCGCTTTAAGGACACTGACTGCTATTCAATCTATAACAGTGAAAAAAGTTTTTTGTTTTTAAATCCAAGCTAGTGACACAGTGAGTGGTGGCACTGGGCACCGTATCCACTGTAGCTTAACACACCCGCTTTAAGGACACTGACTGCTATTCAATCTATAACAGTGAAAAAAGTTTTTTGTTTTTAAATCCAAGCTATTGTGACACCAGATCTAAGTGGTGGCACTGGTCACCGTATCCACTGTTAGCTTAACACACCCGCTTTAAGGACACTGACTGCTATTCAATCTATAACAGTGAAAAAAGTTTTTTGTTTTTAAATGAAAGCTATTGTGACACCAGTGAGTGGTGGCACTGGGCACCGTATCCACTGTTAGCGTAACACACCCGCTTTAAGGACACTGACTGCTATTCAATCTATAACAGTGAAAAAAGTTTTTTGTTTTAAATGCAAGCTATTGTGACACCAGTGAGTGGTGGCACTGGGCACCGTATCCACTGTTAGCGTAACACACCCGCTTTAAGGACACTGACTGCTATTCAATCTATAACAGTGAAAAAAGTTTTTTGTTTTTAAATGCAAGCTATTGTGACACCAGATATAAGTGGTGGCACTGACTGGGGAAATGGGCACAGTATCCACTGTGAGCCTGACACAGAAGCTGGCAGCAGTGGCAGACAACTAACTGCAATTACATTACACAGAAAAAAAAAAGCATACCCTAACCCTAACCTAGCTATGCCTAACCCTATCTAATCAACAGCAGCTACACTTTCCCTCCTCTCACTAAGCATGCAGCTTGAGAATGAATGTAAAATGGATGCCTTCCAGTAGGTGGGAGGGTCTGCTAGGGAGGGTGTGCTGCTAATTGGCTGGAATGTGTCTGCTGACTGTGAGGTACAGGGTCAAAGTTTACTCAATGATGACGAATAGGGGGCGGATCGAACAGCGCATGCGTTCGCCATCCGCGGCGGACGCGAACACGCTATGTTTGCCGGGAACCGTTCGCCAGCGAACCGTTCGGCACATCACTAGTTAAGAGTGATGGGATACTGCACTTAGACCACTTCAATCAGCTGAAGTGGTCTAGGTGCCTACAGTGTCCCTTTAATGCATTAGCAATTAGCTGAAGTGGTCTAGGTGCCTACAGTGTCCCTTTAATGCATATGCAGTTAGTTCAGTGAAATATATTTTCTGTGAATTATAAATGTTAAAGGATCACTATAGTGTCAGGAAAACAAAGCGGTTTTCCTGACACTATAGTGCCCTGAGGATGTCCCCACCCTCAGGGTCCCCCTCCTGTGGTGCTGAAGGGATTAAAACCCCTTCAGCAGCTTACCTTATTCCAGTACCAGGCTCCCTCGGCGCTGGTGACCTCTCCTCCCCCGCCGACGTCAGCGGAGCTGAATGAGCATGCACGGTAAGTGCCGCGTGCGCTTTCAAGTGCCGGGTGCGCTTTCAAGCTGTCAATAGGAAAGCATTTCTCAATGCTTTCCTATGGACGCTCTGCACGATTGAGGCATAGTATGCCTCCAGCGTCGCAAATGCGCCTCTAGTGGCTGTCCAGAAGACAGCCACTAGAGGCTGGCTTAGCCCCAAATGTAAACATAGCAGTTTCTCTGAAACTGCAATGTTTGCATCTGAAGGGTTAAAACCTGACGGACCTGGCACCCAGATCACTTCACTGAGCTGAAGTGGTCTGGGTGACTATAGTGTCCCTTTAATAATGCACTAGTGTCCTTTTTTTTTTTTTACACATGACAATTTATTCTTCCCATAATGAAATCTCATGATGTTTTTTCCTCCAAGGTGGCATTTGCTCATATTGCTTTTAAGAAAGTAAAATAAAGATCCCATGATTTAAGCCTACTGTAAAGGCTTTCAGTTTAAAAACAAACAAAAACTGTTATTTCTGGATAATCTGTTTGATTTCAATATCCTTATTCACACCCAAAGCATTTCTGTGCTGTTTGATGCTATTCACTGTTCAGCAATTAAATCATAACTTTCAGGTTATTCTCATCATTCTCAATCAGATTTCATGAACCTATGTGGATGATGGGATTTGTAGTTCGCATAAGAAAGTAACAATGATAAGCTAACCCTGCTGTATAAAACGAAAACGAAAACTAATCCTGTTTAAAACCTGCAGTATTGTTCAATTTCCAAGTGAGGCCAATTTGAATCCCTTTAAGCATCACATTCCCTTGAATTACTTCTCCTGAACTATACTTTAAGACTAGGAAGTGTGTTTGAACGCTTGTTCTCTAATTAAGCTAAATCCCTTAAAATGTCATTTCCTACCCTATTGCAGCATTCAAAATCCTTTACGACTTAGTAAATGATATAATACAATGTGAAGCATACCTTGGTGAGACTTTAACTTAGGAACAATGACGAGAGTTTTGCTGTTTGCAAATTTATATTTAAAATTCATTTTAGAACGTTAATATTCTAAAGGTGTCACTCACCTACAAGATTAAACCAAGGTTCTTTTTTCATTTCTGCTCATCTCCTTGATAGTGGAATGATGGTGGAATGATGATAGTGGAATGATGGTGGGCACAAATGTATACATTACAGATGATAATGCCTGGATGAAAGCCAAAAATAATTACCTATGGAAATCTTTAAAAACTATAAAGTCCGCTATCAGCTACCTTGAAGACTAGGCTCAAGGTATTCAATAGTGGACTTTACCTCTGAAATGTCCTACACTAGCTTTAGCTTTGCCGGTGCCAAGCCCTGTGCCAGCTTTCCAAATATTTTTGCAAAGGTAGAGAGGATATGCACACACTATCCGGGGAGTACTCCCATTGGGGTGCTCCAGATAGGCAGGGCCACAAACCCAGGAAAGATGAAATAGAAAAATGTAGATCAGAGCACACCTGGTGGCTTCTTCAGTAGGCAGCTTTTATCTAAAGTGCAGAGCAAAAACAACATTTCAGCTCCTTAGGGCCTTTGACAAGTCTAACCTTACCTGGATAGACTGAAAGGCTCTATTTACTAAGGAGCCGAAACGTTTTTGTTCTGAACTTTATAATAAAGCTGCCTACTGAAGAAGCCACCAGATAATGCCCTGAACTACATTGTTCTATTGAAGCTTTCCAAATAGTAGCAGAGTACATCAGTGATGAAGGCTCCTGGCAAATTAAGCCTGCAGAAAATAAAGAGGGACATAGTGTCACTGAAGTGAGAGAGGTGACTTAAGTGTGTTATGGGGCTATTGGTAGGCTGAGGGCCAGACACCAAGCAAATAGCTGAATTTGCTTTTGTGACCAGCCAAATGAATTTTAAAAAGTCAAATTGTGACAACTGAAGAGTATTGCTGCTGTTTGGTTGCCTTTCGAGATGTGTATCTTTCCCAGCATGTAGTTACCATGTCAAGTAACCCAGCCTGAGGTCTAGACTAATGAACCCTATTAGTTTTGGCTGCTTCATTAAACAACAAGGCAAGCTTCGCTCACAGATCTATGTGTACGGGATACTATGTGAAGATCATGAGTTAAAATGGATGAGCCAATTAACTTCATATGCTTCATTAAAAGTCCATAAAAACTGAGTGTGTTGTTAATCATTTGTATAGAGTTTATTATAATTTGTAGAGACTAAATGTGGTATTTGAGGGAAATATACAGCTTTCCTTTAGTTTTCAACAATGTTGGAACCTAAGGCTGACTGCCATCTATTTATGCAATTCAGGTCTATCTGGTGCCTCTTGGGTTGAACACTGATTCTAACCGTAAAGAGCGCATTAAAGGACCACTATAGGCACCCAGACCACTTCAGCTTAATGAAGTGGTCTGGGTGCTAGGTCCAGATAGGATTAACCCTTTTTTTATAAACATAGCTATGTTTACACTGAGGGTTAATCCAGCCTCTAAAGCCTCTAGTGGCTGTCTCATTGACAGCCGCTAGAGGCGCTTGCGTGCTTCTCACTGTGAAAATCACAGTGAGAAGACGCCAGCGTCCATAGGAAAGCATTATGAATGCTTTCCTATGAGACTGGCTGAATGTGCGCGGGGCTCCTGCCGCGCATGCGCATTCAGCCGATGACGTCGCTAGGAAGAAGGAGAGGAGGAGGAAAGCTCCCCGCCCGGTGCTGGAGAAAGGTAAGTGTTTAACCCCTTCCTCTCCCCAGAGCCCGGCGGGAGGGGGACCCTGAGGGTGGGGGCACCCTCAGGGCACTATAGTGCCAGGAAAACAAGTATGTTTTCCTGGCACTATAGTGGTCCTTTAAGCTCAGTCACACACACAAACCCATTTTTGTTGCACTGCGCCCATGCCGTCAGGAAGATGGGGGTAAAGTTGTAGCAATGGTCTATAATGGTTAATAACTAAACTGTAAACTGTCAGGATTTCAAAGTGAATTTAGCATATTTGGGGCTAAAACCGCAAAATGTTTACATTTTATCAATTTTCAGGTGTTAAATGAATTGTTAAACCCATCAAAACACATTGAGAGTTGTTTCTATATCTGCTAATCATATGGAAAATCTCATAAAAACTGATATAGGTGGTGCCTATCATAGTTCCTTCTCGGTTGAAACTCGAAGGTTTCCCCTAAATGCTGGAGAAGTTGCAATTCAGAGGGAACAGCTGCCCACATTTAGTGCCAGTATAATATCATTGTTAAATTTCCTGTAAATAAATTCAAAATATGGGAAGGGCAGTTGCTCCCACAAATTGAATAGTTTAAGATTCTTCCTCCTGGGATTTCTACTCCAAACATGATAACCTTTAAAGTGTACCTGTTGTGAAAAAAATTACTTGTCTGAAATCGCTCCCATATGCATTGAATACACCATATATCACAAAGATTCATATTCAACGTAAAATATATCGATTTATTCACCTTTCCTCCATTCTAGCATTGCTTCGTGGGTGTTATTCTTTGGGTAACACCCACCTCTGCATCTCCACGCAGGGCAAAACTCCTCAATGATGTCAGCATGATGACTTCATAACTTGCTTGCCGGCTAAGGAGTTTCCATAGCAACCACAGCACATGCACTGTAGTTGCTATGGGTGTAGAGCAATGGGACCTCCTGTAAGAGGTATTTCCTTCTCTCCCTTGTCAGTCAGTGCCTTAGCACACCAAGGCATTTACTGACAACTGGCATAAAAACTTTATTTTTTAAAATATGGATTTCTCTTAATCTACACATGTGCGGCATGCCTACTAAATAGTGAGCAGCCAGTGGCCTATTAAAATAATTAACGGGGGCCCCTAAGTTTCATTAGGGGGAAAGACCTATTGTCCCCCTCAGCCCCCACCCATTAGGGGCGGGTGGGGGCCGTAAATGACAATAGGTGGGCAGGACCTAGTGTTGTTGTCCCCAGCCCCCAATCATGAGCGGTGCATGGGGGCCCTAAATGGCCATAGAAGACCTATTGCCCCACCCCCACCCATGAGCAGAGAGTGGGGCTCTAATTGACAAAAAGGGGGGGGAACCTATTGTTCCCTGCCCCGTCCACAACCCATGGACGACTTGTGGGGGCCCTAAATGACAATAGGGAGGAACAGGGCCGCCATCAGAAATTTTGGGGCCCCTGACAAAGCACAAGGTCTAGGCCCCCCTCCCCTTCCCTCTCCCCCCGGGCCCGCCCTCGCCCTACCTAGTCCGCTGACAATGATGCAGGACTGAATGTGGTGTGTATAGTGGAAGTGAATTAGAATGTGTGTAATGGATGTAGTGTTTGTGTGTATTAGATACTGTTTGTGCAGTGAATGCAGAGTGAGTGTTTGTGTAGTGGATGTAGTGTGTGTGCAGTGATGTAGTGTGTGTTTGTGTCATGGATGTAGTGTTTGTGTGTACTAGATTAAATGTGTTTAGTGGATGCAGTGTCTGTAGTGGATGTAGCATGTGTATTAGATGCAGTGTCTGTGTATAGTGAATGCAGAGTGTTTCAATTTGTGGTGGATGTAGTGTGTGTACTGTGAATACAGGATGTTTGTGTAGTGGATGCTGTGTGTACAGTTAATGCAGAGTTTGTGTTATTGTAGTGAATGCAGAGAGTGTGTTAATGTGTAGTGAATGCAGAGTGTGTGCTAGTGCAGTCAGTGCAGAGTGTGTTAGTGTGTAATGAATGCAGAGTGTGTGTTAGTGTGTAGTGAAGGCAGAGTGTGTGTTGTATTAGTGTATGCAGTGTGTGTGTTGTGTTAGTGTATGCAGTGTGTGTGTAAATGTGCAATCTAGGGGGAGGAAGGGGCATTTTCACATTAATTTCACATACATTTCCTATTAAATTAACCCCTTAACCCCTTAAGGACCAAACTTCTGGGATAAAAGGGAATCATGACATGTCACACATGTCATGTGTCCTTAAGGGGTTAAGGACCAAACTTCTGGAATAAAAGGGAATCGTGACATGTCACACATGTCATGTGTCCTTAAGGGGTTAATTAACTGTTTCTCCCCCCTGCCTGCTTCTTACCTGTGTCCAGGGAGGTGGGAGATTCCATCCCTGGTGGTCCGGTGGCATGGGGGGCCCCCCGGCTCCCTGTTACCGCAGAGGGGGCCCAGCACACAGCTTCTTCTCTTCTAATAATTCTTGCGAGACCCGCAGAGCGTTGCCATGGCAACGCTCAGAAGGTCGCGGGTATCGCGAGAGTTATTAGAAGAGAAGAGAAGAAGCTGTGTGCTGGGTCCCCTCTGCGGTAACAGGGAGCCGGGGGCCCGCGGCTGCACACATAGCGATATTCGCTATCTATATGTGCAGAGAGGGAAAGTGGGACCCGGGACTGCCAGAGCAGGCGGCCCTGGGGAGGAAGGACCTATTGACCCCCCCTCCCAGCCCCCACCCATGGACGATGGTTGGGGATAAATGTAAAAATACCCCACCCCCCCAGGTGACTAGAAAAATAAATAAAATGACCATTGATTACAAACAGCAATGCTGACATTTATCAGTGACCAAGGACAGAATTATTGTACTACAACCACTACAGTAAGGTGTCATGGTGTTGATGTTTTTTATTTAGAATACGCTATGCTAGCAACACTTGTCCCTCTAAGAAGATTAGCAATCACCTCCAATGTTGTCAAGAACTGACAACATCTAAGTTTCAGGAGCTGTAGGTGATGTATATGAATTATGAAGAACAAGCACTTTGTATGACTCTTACGGATAAGCTAGGCTCTAAGAGACTCTCGAAGATATTGTTACTGAATGTTCCCCATTTTGATACAGAGACAAATGTGGGTTTAGATTCCTACATTGTTCACTAGGAACACTGAACAACTTGATTTATTAAGGAAGCTAAGAGAAGATACCCTCTCCTACATCTGGCATTTGTCCTAAAGCTGCACATGCCAGTCTTTCATTATTGAGAACATTATATCCCAACAGAAACTCTACTAATTCAGAAGGAGACCATATGGTGACTACCAGGCATGACACCAGGAGTATTTAGAGGTAGAAGAAGACTTTCTTATGCTCAATCTATTTAGTGTCTCTCTGCAATGAAACATCATTCTATTAGCAGTGCTAATGTCCTATTTCTAATCTATTCCTTCACATAAATTATTGTAAATGGTAGCTTCAACTCATAAATACTTTGGGTAATTTAAATTATTACAGCAAAGGCGGATAATTACAATAATAATGAAAAGCTATATAAAAATGCAAATCTACCTTTTGAATAAAATAGTGTATCGCATTAGACATATTTGCATTATGTAAATTGGACCATGAAAAATGACTCCAATCAGGTGATTCTGCTTAGATGTCGGAATGCTAATCCAGGCAGAGCTCTAATGGTTAGAATAAATTAATACAAGCCATTACCATGGCTTTATTTGTAAATTGTCATTATGGAACTCCAGCATAAATAACAAGAGGTCATCAGAGCTGCCTTTGGGGGCTCACACCTGAAAAGTTAATTTTAATAATGACTGAACAAGGAGAAGACATCACTTCAGGTTGTTAACCATTTAACCTATTGGCTGGCAGATAG